CCCCCCCGCCAAAAAAAAAGTACAGTTATATGGACACATGCTCCTCCAAGAAATGACTCAACAAAATGACAAACAAAATCAGAATTTTACATTTTTTTCTAGGGCCAGTGAGATGGGTCAATAGGTACCTGCTGCTAATCCTCATGACCCGAGTTCAATTTCCAGGATGCAAATGGTGAAAGAAGAGAACCAACTCCTACACATTATCCTCTTATTTCTCTATGCATACAGTGGCGTGTACGTACCCACACCACCACTGACAAAATAATTAATATATATATTTCTTAAATTTCTAGATAGACTTGGTAGCATAAAACTATAATGCCTAGGCAGAAGAATCATGAGTTATCCAGGCCAAACTGAGCTACATAGTAAGTCTGTCTCAATAAATAACAAAATTCCATTAAAAAATTACTAGCCAGGTGTGGTTGTACACACCTTTAATCCTAGCACCTTGGAGGCAGAGGCAGGCAGATCTCTGTGAGATTGAAGCTAGCCTGGTTTACACAGTGAATTTCAGTCTAGCTAAGGGTGCAGGGAGACCCTGTCTCAACCCACACAAAAAAATTACTGTTAATGCTTTACTGATTGACTGTAGTGCTAGGAAATAACCCTGGGTATCATACATGTAAGGAACGAAGTCTACCACTAACTACTCTTTTTACTTTTGATTATTAAGAGTTGTTTGTTTTGTGGGTATTCAGGGTTCTGAGCAAATCACTGTTCTTCACAAGACAAAGTCTTATATAAACCATGCTGTCCTGAAACTTCTGATTTTCCCGCCTCACCCTCCACAGTATTGAGATTAGAGGCATGTTCTACTGTGCCCAATTTTTTTAATGCTTTTAAGCTCCCTATTCTATATCTGTTTTGGTGCTGTTATGGGATAACATATAACACTGAAAGCACAAAGACATTCTGAAGTATATTACAATGTAAAACCACATTAAATTTTCTAACTATCATAATAAATGTGAAATACTGTACTCAGAAACAATCTGGACTGGTTATAGTAATTTTGGCTATGAGCTGTTAAGGAAAGCTGAGATCTTTTGCCTATCAGTTGAAGGACTGTGATGATTTCAGGAATGGCTTTCCATAGTTAGCAGGATTAGGAAGTATTGGTTATTGGTTGTATCAGAAGACAACTTTATTTAAGAAGACAGGAAAAGGGGCTTGGAGAGACGGCTCAGCAGCAGTTAAGAACACTGGCTGTTCTTGCAGAAGACCCAGGTTTGAATCCCAGCACCCATATGGCAGCTAACAACCGTAACGCCAATTCCAGGGATCCGACAGCCTCTTCCGTCCTCTGTGAGTATTGCATGACACGGGTGCAATTAACTACACACAGGCAATACATACATACACATAAAAATAATGATTTTAAAAGACAGGAAAATAGGATGAACAATAAATGACAGTGGGGATCAATATTTGAGACAGTAGAAATTCAATTTGGAATAAAAGAGTATGTCCAGCATTACCATTTATAGTGAACACAAAATGGCAACTGGATTTGTGGCGCTTTATATGTACAATTACATGAGGAGGATAAGTCTTAAAATCTTAGTCCTAGCCGGGTGTGGTGGTTCACGCCTGTAATCCCAGCACTTGAGAGGCAGAGGCAGGCGGGTCTCTGTGAGTTCAAGGCCAGCCTGGTCTATATATTGAGTTCCGGAACACCTGGGGCTACAGGGAGACCCTGTCTCAAAAAAAAAAAAAGTCAGTCCTGTTTCAACAACTCTATTCAGACCAATTTTGTTTATAGTCTTAGTGGAAAACAATAGCTTATTAGTCTCTTCAAATAAATTTAGGGATTGAAGTTGTATCTTAATAGCAGCGCATTTACCTAACGTGTAAAACCTGGACCCACTGCAAAAATACCCCAAACCAAAACCAACCAGCCAACAAAATTTCAACAATAACAATAGTTTTTAAGTAGAATATTATACAATCTATATTCTTTAAAAAAAAAATTGCCAAGATTATCTAAAAAAGTACAGGCAATTTTATTAAACTCCAAGTTTATTATGTTTAAAGAAAGGACAATGTTTCAAGCTGAACTTGAATTTAGATTCATACCTTGAAGCAGGAGGCTCTATAAAGGAGCTGAACAACATGTCCAATGCTAGTTTTAGAGGCTTGAGGAAAGCGTGGCTCCAATCTTTGTACCACAAAGAGAACCAACACTTTTCGTGACAGAGCAGAGCCATCTTCCAAGGCCAGCAAAACCAGCTTGAGAGCTTCCTCCTGCATTGCTAGGAAAATGAGGTAAAATAAAAGTTGATCGTGTGCAAAGATAAATTAATTTATCTGAAGAGCAACATATAATACCACACAATTAACAAGCAATACAATATATTTACAAATATACTTTTAAACCCTTCTTGTGGGCAATCCTTATGTATTTTTAAGGAAGTAAATAAATGATTGGTATATTGATTTTAACATTTCAAATTGAATCAGCTTTTGGCATTAAAAGAAAATTTGCAAATGCTCTGAAAAACTAACAAACAGAACTACTCGAGCCAGGATTACCAAGAAGAACGGTACTTGAGAACAGAATAACTAGTACTTGTACATTAAAGTTTTCATTCTATACTTTTAAAACAACTAACAAGGGGCGGGAAACCACCCAAATTTTAATTATGTACCTGGTCCAAGGAACTGGCAGCCCCTAGCCCTGACTGCTGCCCAAAGATTAGACGAGAGTTGTTGAGGATTCTGGTGCTGGAGAATGAGCTCTGTAACTGTTCGTTCACCTAAAGATCGAGCAGCCCTCATGGCACGAATCCTGCCTTCTTCTTCCACTAGCTGGCAGTGGACCAGAGTTACAAGCTTCCTTTGCATTGGGCGACTCAGAACACTCTGAGTAGTGCTATTCAGACCCACTCCTGTAGAAGAGAATACGAAACAACTTTTAGGTTTACAGTGCAATTTTACAATCCAGGAGCACTTATGATGGAGTGGTTGATTTGTGGGTATGTGAACAGCAATGGGTCATATTAGAATATTGAAAATTAACAATATAACTATAAGACTAATACTTAAAAAGTAAAAACAAATATGCACATATATCATTCATTATGACATTCAAAATTTCATTATTCATTTCAGTTATAGAAGAAGAAAAAATGGCAGAAAACATTAACAATTGCTTTAAGAATAGTTAAACAGCAACTCCTTTTTGGAAGGTAATAGAAACTTCCATTCCAAGGTGTCAAATGAGAGCCAGGGATGTAGCTGCCTAGTATATACAATGCCCTGGATTCAAAAAGAATATAGACATTCTAAAATATATTCTAATGACACTGCAAAATCACATTACTGTTTCTAACCATTATAATAAATGTAAAATACTGTATTCAGAATCTATCTGGACTGGTTAGAGTAATTTTGGCTCTAAGCCCCTAAGGAAACCTGAGACCCCTTTTCAATAGAGTATCAGTTGAAAGATTGTGTTCAATTCTGAGGTTCAATTCCCAAGACACCACAAACCAGGCATGATGATACATGCCTGTAAGCCCAACACCCAGGAGGTGGAGATAAGAGGACCAGAAGCTCAAGGACATCTTCAGCTACATACCGACTTCAAGTCACTATGTAGGGACTGGATGGATCACTCAGTGGTTAATAGCACTGGCTGCTCTTGCAAAGGACCTGGGTTTGGTTCCCAGCATCCACATGATAGTTAACAATCCTCTGTAACTCCAGTTCCAGGGGTTCCAATGTCCTCTTCTGGCCTCTACATGCATTGTATGTACACACAGGTGCATTTACATACATGTAGGCAAAACACTCAAACATTTTTTTAAAAAGGAGTTGTTAAATGATGCAAAGCCCTTCTAAATCACCACTGTACTTATATTCACTTCTATAGTCACCCATATTTCTATCACATAAACTCTACATTCACTATTTATTTGATGTGATTTGTAATATTATTTAGCATGAAGTAGATTTAATTTACAATGAATAAATAAATTTTATTGGTATTTACTAGGACTGTTGGTATAGCTCAGTGGGAGAACACTTACCTAGCACTGAAAAACAGAGGGTGGGGGGTGGGAAGGGAAAGGAAGAGAGGGGTTTCCAATCATTAGCATTCACTTAGAACCACATTTTGTGGTAATGGAAGTATCTTTAACAGATGTTTGCTTAGCATGATTTTATAATCAAATTTACCTCTAGCACTACTGAGTGGTTTCAGGTACAATGCTAATTCTTCTACACATTTCTTGGCTTCTTCATAATGCTTTGTATCTTCAACCCCACTACACAAAGTAATGGGCTGTTGCTCAGGGATCTGGAGGTCAAAAGAAAAGTCTGACTGTTAATTTACTAAACAAATGTTCCATTGAATACAGTTTATGCATGGATAGTTCTAGTGCTCACAACATTAAAACTCCTAAATTTAGGGGCTGGAGAGATGGCTCAGTAGTTAAGAGCATGGACTGCTCTTGCAGAGGACCCAAGTTCGATTCCCAGCACCCACATGGCAGCCAGCCAGCAACCATTTGTAACTCCAATTCCAGGGGATCTGACACCCTCCTCTGAACTCCTGGGGCACTGCACGACACAGGTGCACTTACACACATGCAGGCAATACACTCATACACATAAAATAAAAACAATAAAAAAAGATGCCCCCCCTGCCCCCGCAAAAAAAAGCCAGGTGTGGTGGCACATGCCTTTAATCTCAACATTCAGGAGGCAGAAGCAGGTGGATCTCTGAGTTCAAGGCCAGCCTGGTCTACATAGGGAGTTCTAGGCCAGCTGGGACTTCCAGGAGACGCTGTCTCAAAAAAACTAAATAAAATAAAATAAACAAACAAATAAAAACAATAATTTTTTTTTAACTACATGGTTTTTATTTGAATTTCCCTGACAGTTAAGGTTGTTCTGTTACAAATTTTTATATGCCTACTGTACATGTGTCTAACTTCTTCTAAAAAAAAAATAAATGCCTAGTCCAATGATTTGCCAATTTTTAAAGAATCTGTAGAGGCTAATGTGATGGCTCAGTGAGTAAAGTCACTTGCTGCCAATCCTGATAACCTGAAACCAACATGGTGGAATAAAAGAACAGATCCAGTCAAGTTTGTCCTCTGACCACTACACACATGCTGTGGCAGGCCACATGGCCACACACATACACACACACACAAGTAAGAAACAAATGTATAAAAAGATTTTATAGAGGTATTTTAAATTTACAGGGGAAAAGCAAAGACAGTTCAGAGAATTCCCATTACCCTCATTCCCATTATTATTAACACCCCATGATGGTATGGCACATTTGCTAACCTTAATATTATTATGAGCTAAAGTTCAGTTGTTATTCAAATATCCTTAGTTTTTACCTAAGATCCCTAATATCCGTTTCTCTGTTCCAGAATCTCATTCAGGATACCGTATTACATTTTCTAAGACTCTGAAAGTTTTGACCATTTTTTAAGCCTTGTGTTTCTGAACTGGTAATGTGTATTATTGATTGCCTTTTTATAGAATCTGTCTGATGTTTTTGTTTTTCTCATAATGCAACTGGGGCTAGAGGTTTTTGAGAATTAGACCATGAAGGAAAAGTGCCATTTTCATTACATCACGTCAAGGACCATATTATTAACATCACTTATTACTGTTCTTGTCAACCCAGTTCAGCTGGTTGAGAGAACATTTTCTGGGTTCCTCCAACATAAATACTGTATTTGATTTATGTTATCCATTAATGTTACTCAGTAGAGTAACCACAGCAATGAACACATGTATTAGTTAAATGAACAAATGACCCGGTCAGAAGGACTGTATATTATCAGAAATGTGATAAAGTTTAAAGATGTAATCTGAGATGGCTCAGTGGGTGAGGGCACTTGCTGCTGCTAACATGAAGACCTGAGTTCAAACCCCAGGATCCACATGGTGGCGAGAGCTAACTCTTGGTCTCTGACTTCCGAAAACATGCTATGGCACACATGCATCCCCAAAATAAACAAATAAAAATGTAACTTTAAAAAAAAAGATGTAATCAGGGCTGGAGAGATGGCTCAGTGGTTAAGAGCACTGGCTGCTCTTGCAGATGACTCGGGTTCAATTTCCAGCACCCACATGGCCACTAACAACCATCCTAACTCTAGTTCCAGGGAATCTGATGCCCTCTTCTGACCTCCATGGTATTGGACGACATAGGTACATTTACAAACATGCAGGCAATGCACTCATACACATAAAATAAAAATAATAAAATACTAAAAATAAAAAGATATGTAATCAACGCTGGGCATGGTGACACATGCTTTTAGTCCCAGCACTCCAGAGGCAGGCAGATCTCTGTGAGATAGAGGCCAGCCTGGTGGTCTACATAGTAGGTGCCAGGCCAGCTGGGACTACAGGGAGACCCTGTCTCAAAGAGACCCCCCCCCCAAAAAAAAAGTAATCAGAAAGAAAAAAAGCTTAAAAAGACAACAAGATCATTTACCACAATATCACATAGGTAACAATCAGAATTCCAGAGGTTTGACAAAATAACAGTGAACAAGAAATTATGCTAAAATACCTTCTAGCCTCACTAAACATTTTAAATTTGGGGGGGGGGATAATCTAAAATTTACAGAAAACTTGAAAAGATTCTTTGAATTTTTTCTTCCTTCTTACCTGGCTAGTCCTCTCCTAATATTCTTTTCTAGAATTTTAATTTATCAAAAAACAAAAACAAACAAAAAAAAACAACTCTGTTGGTCTGGTTGTTCCTATGTCTCTTCATTAAGCATTTATCACAGGCTTAGTCCCTTCTTCCCCCTCAAGCATTACTATACCTATATAAAACGCTACATAAACAAGCAAGGAAAGGCTATGAACTCTATCCCTACTTTACATAAGAGTTACTGTGGTTATAGTAAAATGATGGCTTAGTGGGCATCATTTTACAGTAAAATATTAAATATATGTAATAACTTTTTTAAAGCTACAAAAAGACAAATCAACAGGTGATCATTCCCTTAGATGAACAAAGTGCTCTTTGCTTCTCATATTATATGTTCTGTACAAAGAATCTTAGTCAAATTAAAAGAATTGAGCTTATGGCCTGGCATATGCACTGGGCTCTGGGGAAGTAACTTAAATTTTCTTGTTTCTTTTTGCAGTTTGTTTTGTTTTAGTATTTCCCTTGGCTGTTCTTTTTTGCCCAAGGAAGTCAGAAGAGGGTGTTGGATCCTCTGGAATTGGAGTTACAGACGATTGTTGACAGCCATGTGGGTGCTGGGAACTGAACCCAGGTCCTCTGGAAGAACAGTCAGTACTCTTAACCGCTGCACCATCTCTCCAACTCCCACTGGCTCTTTTACTTTCTTTTTAATTTTTTAAAAAAATTTTATGTGTATGAGTATATTGTACACATGTATATAAGTGCACCCATGTCAAACAATGCCCATGGAAGTCAGAAGAGGGCATTGGAGCCCCTGAAACTGGAATTAGGACAGTTGTTAGCCACCATGTGGGTACTAGGAATTAAACCCAGGTCTTCTGCAAGAGCAGTCAGTGCTCTTAACCACTGAGCCATATCTCCAGCCCCTCTTTTACTTTCTTGATGCATTCTTTGAAACGAGGGTTTTAGTTTTTATTAAGTTCAAGTTTTCTTTTTTATTTGTACTTTTAGTTTCAAAAAAAGGAAACAACAAACAACAGCAAAGCCATTGCCTGCTTTAAGGCCGTGAAGACAAAGGCCTGTTTTTTACATTTAACCTTTGATCCATTTTGAATTACCCAAAGCAAATGTTTAAGCATTCTTAAATTTCTTTCAATGAAAATTTGTACTATTCAAAGCCTAGTTTTATTTTTCATTTGCTAAAAATATCCCTAATGGTACTCATCTTGAAGCTATTGTAAAGGGAAGTGATTTATGATCATAGATTATTTATTGCAATTGACCTCATATCCTGCAACCTTACTTAGTTTATTTCTAATTATTTCTTCCTTTGTAAAGTTCTTCAGATTTTCTATATACAAGATTATTCCATGTATGAACAGAAATTATTTTGCCTTCTCTTCTTATCTGGATATCTTTGATTACATTTTATTTACTAAGTGTTCCAGCTAGAACTTCCTATACAATGCTAACTAGAAAATATTAGTGACCCTTGCATTACCGGAGATGTTAGAGAGAACGCTAGTCTTTCATCATTATTTATAACATTAGCAGTAGTTTGCCTTTACCCAGTTTAAGAACTTCATTAGTTTTCCTTTTTGCATGTGCGTGTATACATATTTCCATGTGTGTACACATGTATTTCACTTTCATGTGAAGGCCAGAGGTTATGTAGGGTATTTTTCCTCAGTCACTTCTCCACATTATTTTTGAGATAGGATCTCTCATTGAACCCGGAGCTAACCAAATAGCTAGACTAACTGACCAGCGAGCCCTAGGGATCTGTCTGTCTGTCTCCACCTTCCCAGGATGGAGATTACATGCATGAGTTGCTGTACACATAGCTTTTTACACTGAGTGCCATAAGTTCTGGTGATCTGAATTCAGGTCCTCATCCTTGTACAGCAAGCACTTTAGCAACTGAACCATCTCCCTAGTCCTTCTATTCTACTTTCTATCTATAGGACCTTGCCTATTCTTTGATGTCTGGTTTATTTCACTTAGCCTGATGTTTTCAAGGTTTACCCATATCGTAGTACACATTAGAATTCCATTCTCTTTCATAGTTGAATAATATTTCAATATATGATACATAATATTTGGTTTATGTAATCATCCATCAATGAACAAATTGCTTTCACTTTTTGGCTATTCTGAATAACACTATTGTGAATATGGGCATACAAAAGTCTCTGTGAGGCTCTGATTTCAATTTGAGGGGGTGGGCACATACTCCAAAGTAGAACTGATGAGTCACATAGAAACTCCACTTTCAGCGAGGTGTGATGGCATACGCCTTTGATCCCAGCACTTTGGGAGGCAGAGACAGATGGATCTCTGTGAAATAGAGGCCAGCCTGGTCTACATAGTGAGTTCCAGGCCAGCTGGGGCTACAGGGAGACCCTGTCTCAAAAAGACCAAAGGAAAAAAAAAAAAAAAAAAGACTTTCAAGGAACCACCATATTGTTTATGGTCTTAAGGAACCACCATATTGTTTTCCAAATGGCAGCACCATTTGCAATCTTAACAGTAGTGTATGAAGTTCTAATTTCTTCATATTCTTATCATCACTTGCTTTTGCTATTTTTTGCTAGCAGTCACTCAAGTGGGTATTCTCAATGTGATTTTGATACACATTCCCTTATGATTTATGATGCTGAACAACCTCTGTGGATTGTTAAACAAGTCATAATTAGAATTCTGTCAGAACTTATTATAGATTACTTTGGGTAGTACTATTGCCTTAATATAATGTCAATTATTGAACAAATGATACCTTTCCATTTATTAATGTTTAATTGCTTTCACCAATGTTCAATAATATTTAGTGTATCTTTCTCATATCCCTCATTAACTTTACTCCTGAGCAGTCTGTTCTTTCTGATGCAACTGCCCATGAAACTGCTTTCTTAATTTGTTTTCCAAGAACCATCTTTTCTCCATGTTAATTTTGTTTCTGCCAACTTTGCTCAACCTCTCTGAGATTTTAAGGGGAATTTATCTGAGGCCCACACTATAATTCTAGCACTTGGGAAACTCTCAGAATCTTGGGGAATTTGAGGCCAGTCTGAGCTATAAGACCCTGCCTCAAAAACAATACTCCCCCTACTAAGAATCTATCATACTAAATTTCAAATTACAAACTTTAAAAAGAATAATGAAAAGCTAGCTGGGCATGGTATTGCATGCCTTCAATCCCAGCACTTAGAAGGCAGAGGCAGAGGCAGGTGGATCTCTGCCAGTTCAAGGCCTGGTCTACATAGTAAGTTCCAGGCCAGCTGGGGCTACAGAGAGACCCTGTCGCAAAAAGAGCAAAATAAATAAATAAAAAAAGAAAGAAAGAAAGAAAAAAAGAAAAAGTTAAGCGCAGTAAGAAAAACAACAAATGCACTTTCCCTTTTGACAAACATTAAGTAGTTGTTGACATAAATAAGTTTTGCTTTTGAATAAGCCATTCTAGAAAACAGGTTTCTTTATCTCTAACATCTATCTTTGCTATATTTTAACAATTTATAGGAAGATTAATCCTTAATTTATGGTAAATACTTGGGATTTAATTAATAGAGGAATCCTCTAGGAACTCAAAAACTTGTTTCCCTTGGCTTTGAATCTTGTGAAGACCCTGATTTCTAACTTGAGAATTACCCAAAACTTTCAAAGTACTATGTTCAGAATTACCAGACTATTTCCATGTTTAGGTATTGAAGGATATTTCTTCTGTTCTCAATAAATGGTTCCCCAAATCTGTGCTCTACAGTTTTTGTCACCTTTCTTAGCTTTCAGGGGTAAAATTACCTGAAGTAGCTTCACTATTCCTACTAAATAAAGTATATGTTTTATGAATGGTATTTTTCTCAATGTTAAGACACCCTGGGCTGGGGGTATAGCTCAGTGGCAGTGTCTGCCTAGCAGGCCCAAGGCCCTGGATTGGAGAAGAGGGAAGTAAAGGTGGAGGAGGGAACAGAAGAGACTATCTGACAAGACTGAGCATGCATTTCTATACTAGGAATGAAAAACCACAGGACTACCACAAAGTATCTACAAACATACCAAAATGAAGGATTAGTATAGTACAGAAAATAATTATACACCTATTTAAGGTAATGTTAAATCTCTTTTTATTTTTAGACAGGGTCTCACCAAATAGCCCTAGCTGTCCAAGAACTGGCTATGTTAGACCAGGCTGGCCTCAAAATCACAGAGATTCACTTCTAAGGTAATGTTAAATCTCTCTCTCTTTTTAATATTTTAATTATTTTTATTTTATGAGTATATTACCTGCATATATGTGAGCGTGCCCGTGTTGTGCAAAGCCGTGGAGGTCAGAAGGAGGTGTCAAATTCCCCTGGAACTGGAGTTAAGGATGGTTTGTAGCAGCCATGTGGATGCTGGGAATCGAACCCAGGTCCTCTGCAAGAGCAGTCTGTGCTCTTAACTGCTGAGCCATCTCTCCAGCTCCAAATCTCTTTTTTTGGGGGGAGGGGGATCTTTTTGAGACAAGGTCTCCCTGTAGCCCCAGCTGTTCTTGAACTCACAGAAATCCACCTGCCTCTGCCTCCTGAGTATTGGGATTAAAGGCATGCGCCCCCATGCCCAGCTGGTAATATTAAATCTTAATTCAAATGGTTTCTCTTAGAAGAAACATACACATTAGAGCATTAAGTTACCATCTTACCTGAGCACCCACTAGCTGCAGCAATGCTGAGTTCACCGGAAGGAGCTCAATGTCTGTATTGATAGTGGTCTGGTCAAACGGGCAAGCCTTACGGTGGAGTTTATTCAGGCACATCTTGCAGACAGTATGGCCACAGCCCAAACTGATGGGCTTTCGAATTGTTTCGTCGAAAGTCTGAGTGCAAATTGGGCAGGAGAGGAAATCCGTCCATTGTGGAGCTTGTACAGGCATTGCTTCTGGAGTTACAATTCACTAACACACACACACACGCGCGCGCACACACACACACACACACACAAACACACACACAATCTAAAGCAAAGATTCCACTGGAATCAAAATTTTGGAAAAAAGTTTATCTTTTTTTAAAATATCTTCTGTAGATACAGTCAGCACATAGTGTGAAATATAACCTGAAAAACAGAAAGAAAAATTAGAATGACTTACTTCTTTTACCTCAATTAAACTGCTGAAATCAGAAGTCCAGTCTCCAACCTACAAGTCCAGTCTCCAACCTACAATCTTTCATAGATACTTTAGTATCACAATAATCCATCATTTTGCCTTATAGAATCAAAGCCATAATAAAATAACCAGTCCCATTCTTTGATTTTAAAGATGAGGAGTATTCCCAAGAAAGATGAAATAACTTGACTAAAGCTGTGACCTTAAGTCCATTAGTCAGAAATAGGACCTAAGCCTCTTAAATACATATACACATTCTTTCTTTCCCTTCCCCCATCTAAGGAGGCTAATAACATTCCATTTCTTGATCTACATGGGTCTGTTCAGTTTTAAGAATTTATTGAGCTCTCATACATCATGTACTTTTATGTGTGTATTATATAACAATAAAGAGGTTTTGTTCTTTTTTTTTTTTCCCCCCTAACTTGTCCTATAAAACTACTTTAAGAGGAGGACAAAGGACATATAAGCCGAGAACACCAAGAGTCACCTCTCTCACCATTTTTCTGTGGCTGTCAGGAAGTCACAGGATCTGTACTTGAGTGTGGACTTAAATACACATCATTACAGCATAGCCGTAAATGTAGGGTGCCCACTCTTCTGTAAATAAACCCCTACCCTATGCTCTGTTAAAAAATAATAGTAAGTCAGGCGTGGTGGCGCACACCTTTAATCCCAGTACTCAGGAGGCAGAGGCAGGTGGATCTCTGTGAGTTCAAGGCCAGCCTGGTCTGCATAGTGAGTTCCAGGACAGCTGGGGCTACAGGAAGACCCTGTCTCAAAATAATAATAGTAAATAAAATATTAAAAAGGAGTTTTTTTTAATGAGTAGTGTGGTCTGAGCTTCAGTCTCTGCCTCCAGGTTTCTGTCCTGAGCTCCTGTCTTGGCTTTCCTTGATAATGGACTATTTTGAGCTGTAAGTCAAATGAACCCTTTTCTCCAAGTTGCTTTTTTTTTACTATTTTCTTTATTATTTTTATTTTATGTGTATGAGTGTATTGCCTGCATGTATGTGAGTGCACCCATGTCATGTAATGCCGTGGAAGTCAGAAGAGGGCTTCGGATTCCCCTGGAACCGGAGTTAAGGATGGTTCATAGCCGCCATGTGGGTGCTGGGAATTGAACCTGGGTCCTCTGCAAGAGCAGTCAGTGCTCTTAACCGCTGAGCCATCTCTCCAGCCCCCCAAGTTGCTTTTGTTAGAGTACTTTATTACAGCAATAGAAATCAAACTAGGAAACACCTATCTTCACAAACTACAGTGGCTCCATAAATTAAAATTCCTCAGAAACCTCAAGAGTTTTAAGATCACAGTACATTTATCATAACTACTCCCAAATTTGAGAGTAATCCCAAATGGTTTTATCATGTTATGTTATAGATGCTTTCCCTCATGCCTTACTGCCTGTGCTGGATAGCTTTAGTTGTCAACTTGACACACCTGGTTAGAAGGTACCTCAACTGAGGAATTTTCTCCATTGAATTAGCCTATGGCCAGGTCTTTGGGGCATTTCCTTGATTGCTGAGTGGTGTGGGAAGGCCCAGCCCACTATGGGTGGTGTCACCCCTGGGTAGGTAGTCCTGTATTGTATAAGAAAACAGGCGGAGCACAGGCTAAGCACAGGCCAGGAGAGCAAGTTAGTAAGCAGCTATCCTTCATGGTTTATACTCCAGGCTTGGTTTCCCTTGATGATGGACTATGTTTGTAAACCAAATAAAAAAACCCATTCCTCCTCAAACAACAACAACAACAACAACAACAACAACAAAACCTACTTTAAGGGTTGGGGATGTAGCTCAGTCGGTGATGTTTGCTTAGCATGCATGAAGTCCATGGTTCCATCCCCAGCACTGCATAAAACTGAGTGTGGACGCACATCCTTGTAATCTCAGCACTTGGGAGGCAGAGGTATGAGGACCAGAAGTTTAAGGTCATCCTCAGGTATATGTTGAGCTTGAGGCTAGCATCAGAAACACTAAACAAAATGTAACAGTTCTTCAAAATGCTTTCAAAAATCTTAAAAATCAAATCTGGTGGGAGTAATGAGATAAAGCAGACTGTAGCTGTGTTTTTGTTTTTTAAGGTTATTTATATACTTTTGAGAGTTTCACATTCTGGTAGATAGCTTTCTATAACAATATGACTAAAATATTTACTTCAAACTTCAGTGGAGATTTTTGAAAAAATATTTTATTATTGTTATTTTATGTATGAATGCACTGCTTGCCTGCATGTAAGTGCACCCATGTCATGCAATGCCCATGGAAGTCAGAAGAGGGAGTTAGATCCCCTGGAATGGAGTTGTGGATGGTTATTATCTGCCATGTCAGTGTGCTGGGAACCAAATCTGGGACCTCTGCAAGAGCACCCAGTGCCCTAACCACTGAACCATCTTTCTAGGCCCTTCCAAAGATTTTGTTTTGTTTTGTTTTTGTTTTTTCGAGACAGGGTCTCCCTATAGCCCCAGCTGGCCTGGAACTCAGTATGCAGACCAGGTTGGCTTGAATTCAGATCTCTGCCTCCTGAGTGCTGGGATTAAAGGCATGTGCCACCATGCCAGGCTCTTCCAAAGATTTTTAAATCCTCCAATTTAAAGATCAGAAATTACAATGAACTAGAACCCATATATAAATTTCATCATCTCTCATCTGTTTTGGTCGGATAATAGCTAAATCACAAAACTCACTACTTTATCAGAAGTTCTTACATTTTCATTACATTTTATTTTTTCATTGGGGTAGTGCTTGCATCATGGCCTGGAACTATGTAGACCAGGCTGGCCTTGAACTCACAGAGATCCGCCTGCCCGCGCCCAGCTTACAATAAAAATTCTTAAGAAATACAAAGGAAGTATTTGTGAAAGCTGGCTAAAAAAATAAATAAATAAAATAAAATGTCTATATTACCTTTTATTATCAGTTAGCACAGGTTTTTACTAATATCTATGAAGAATCTGATCCTATGTAGATAATCCATTCAAAGGTTCCTTCCTTTTTACTGGTAGATAAACTTAACAGTGTTACTCCCTTAAACATTCTACAAACTCCAAAGAACTCAACACATTATATTACACATCACTTCAATTTTACTATTCAGTCATACTACAATGCCTCATGCAGAGCAAATCTATAAAAAGCATGCCCTATTGTCATTACATTTTAAGTTTTCTAAAAACTTATTTTTTATATTTTATTATTTTTATTTTATGTGTATGAGTGTTTTGCCTGCATGCAGGTAAGTGCACTTGTGTCGTGCAATGCCTGTGGAGGACAGAAGAGGCTGTCGGATCCCCTGGAACTGGAGTTACGGACAGTTGTTAGCTGCCACGTGGGTGCTGGGATTTGAACTCGGGTCTTCTGCAAGAACAGTCAGTGTTCTTAACCGCTGAGCCATCTCTCCAGCCCCTCAAAACTTATTTTTATTTTATGTGTCATACATATGTGTTTTGTCTAGATATAAGTATACCACATGTGTACAGTGCCCATAGAAGCCAGAAAAGGATCTTGAATCTCCTGAAACTGGAGTTCCAGACAACTGTTTGCTCCCATGTGGGTGCTGGGAACTGAACCAGGGTCCTCTACAAGAGGACCAATGCTTTTAATCACTGAGCCATCTCTCCAGCCTCTGGAATTTAGAGGTGCAAAACAAGAGAGATTAAACCAGATAGTCCAGCTCAAACCCCAAACTCTTTATCATCACAAACAGATTGGGGATTAAAGATAAAGGAAAAACTATAACTTCATTCAAAGACTATGTAGGATACAGAACTGTATATATACTATCCCAAATCTATCTATTGATTTCAGTCATTCTATTCTTACCCCAAACATGTTGATAAAGCTAACCATCAGGTCTATGTTCTTATCTTGTTTTCTCAAGATAGGAAACAAATAACTACTTTCACCTTCCCTCCTCGAGGTATGTAGCTCAGGCTGGTCTTGAAGTGGTAATCCCGGTTTGTTCTCCCAAATTCTGGGATTACAGGCATGGTCTCAACAAAATTTTTATGTTGTGTGGTCCCAGAGACAAAACCTATAGCCTTGTGTATGCTAGGCAAGTGCTTTACCAATGAGCTATATCTCCAGCCCTCAACACGCCACATAAAATTAAAAATTTCCAAGTAATACTTGGAAAAAAATTCTTTTTGAGACAGGGTCCCCTGTAGCCACAACTGGCCTGGAACTCACTATGTAGACCAGGCTCAATTCAATCTCACCTGTCTCCACCTGTCTCTGCCTCCCTGGTGCTGGAATTAAAGGTGTGCACTGCCACGCCCTGCATGAGTCAAAATGTTTTAAAAATGTTTAGTCAGGAGGTGGTTGAGCCAGGGATACACAGTGAGACCCTGTCTCAAAAAAAAAAGGTTAACAGTAAAATGATCCCCTCTTACCCCTAATCACTCACCCCTCTAATCCTCTTCACTTCATATCCACAAATAAACTCATTACTTTTAGTTTCTTTATGCATGGAAGTAAATATACAATACACATTAACTGAAAAGAAACTATTTTACATGTTGTTACAACTCTCTGGTTCTTCATTAAATCATTTTTTTGTTTTGTTTCCCATAGAAATCATAGCTAGAGCAAGGGAGAACATCAATTCATGGTCCAACCCCAGCTTCAAGGACTAAGCCACATCAATGACCAGCACAGCAAATGACATTGGTGTGGTATTGGCACTTTTATCTTGAGGGTAATCAACAGCTACCTAATTGGACTTAAAGCCCACTCAATGGGAGGAAACTCATGTCTGGTACTGTAACCTAGAGAAAACCCCAAGACTGTCACATCCCTAGACAAATGTAATTTCTTACTATGTGCAAAACATGGATTCTTCAATTTACAGACAAGTATTCCAGTCACCATCCATCAAAGAAGTTTCTTTTTCAACAGACAGAGATTATTACAGAGTTCCACAACTGGTCATACCCAGTGATTGTCTGTGA